GTAAGATATATATATATATATATATATATATATATATATATATATATATATTTATATATATTCATTTTAATACTAATACATTTCTATTGAATTAAGTATAATACTTATCTTTACATTATAATGTATATTAGTCTTTTGCTTTTTAATTTAAAATATAAGAGCAAACTTGATGTTTCGATTTGTAGTTTAGGAGAATGTATTTGGTTTTGATAAATTTTTTTTTGGGACAATATTTCCATTTTATTGCAAGATATTTCGTAGATTAAACCATATTAATCTATAATCTTAAGTCAAAGAAGTTTGCGTCTACATAGTGTTTGATTTTGATGCCTTGTAACGATATACGAAGTATACATGAAGATAATCTACTATAAGATAATCATTCCTCCACAGAGTAAGGATAATTAAAAGGAAGCTTATAGACGCGTCTTCAGAATAAATATAGTGAAATAGATCGTATCGCAATAAATTGTCGTATATTATTGCGGCATGTAGTCATAAATGTTTTATTTGTCTGTAACAAAGACTCTCTCTCTAGTCTTTACTTATGTGGGTATAATATTATTGTTGTCTCTTTGTCAATGTTCTTAATTGCGATTGAAGATAGCGGAATATCTTTCGTCTCTGTATGACAACGTGTATAATATTCTAATAGTATACATGCAGAAAAGTACTAACTAAGAGAGAATGCATGACTGTAAATTCATGATCGGCTAGATACATCGGCAAGAGTAACTTCCGAAGCACAATAGAAGAGAGACATATATCAGTCAGGACCGAAAAGGTACGTGTGTAATATAGAGCGTGTGTAAAATGAGATAAACATCCTTTTATATTATTCTTGTATATTTAATATTAAACGTGCAGCGGCAGCATCCATGTAAATAAAGTGGATTTAAAAATCACGAATATCTAAGAGAAGTCCATTCTCTTAGTTTTTATCAAAAGAATAAGAACAAGAGTTATACATCAAGAATATGGATTTTCAAAGCGTAAATTCCCTAAACGTTCGCATAAACGCCCTCTCAGGTAACTTGTTGCCTTTGAAACCGGATGATTCGCGATTCCCCATAACATTGAAGATGTACAGCGTCTTGGTGTGGCTAATTGAAATAATCCAAACGATTGTATTAATTCCTGGGTTGATTCTGGTGTCACGGGAAAAGGCCCTAAAAGACGGTACAGTTGTCTGTGTGGTCACCGTAGAGGTATTTTTTATGGCCGCGCGGATTCACTCACGCAGGCAGTTGGTGAATCGATTAATCCAGAAAATAAATGACATTCTGCGCTTTGCGGACGAGACTATGAAGAATGTTGTGACGGCAACTCTGCAACCAATGGACAATCCGCTCAAGTTTTACTGGCTCTCCGGCTGGATGGGTGTCTTCGTATGGGCTATTTTACCGTTCTTGTTAATTTTCAAGAAAGTTTCCTTCTTTTACGAGGACTATAGGATGCCGGCGGCCTTCTCCAAACAACCTTTTTCATTCAATGTCTTCCTGCTAGGCAGCATTCTGATACTGATTGGTAACATGTATATATTTATAAAAAAAGTTGGATTGGATGTTTATATGATACATCTCGTACTACTGATAACGGCGCAATATCGATATATTGCCACAAGACTCGTGACAATATTTCGAGATGGAAATCCGCGAAGTGAGTTTAATGAATCTCTCCAGAAATATTCTTCCAATATAAATCAACGAGTAGAAAAAGAAATTATACTATTATGTCGACATCACAACGCTGTCGTTCAGTAAGTCATTAGAGAATTTTTACTAAAACTTATTAATAAAGAGAGAAACTGTTCGTAAGAACGCTTCAATAAAGATCAAATGTTAAAGAAATCTTAAGTTCAAAAATTGGCTAAAAATTTCTTTTTCTTTTAGCTTTTAAGGCTTGTAAAGAAAATCTAATTGCGCTATTATAAATATATATAAATACTACTTTATAATTAATTATGTTAATATTACTTTTTATCAGAAATTTACATAATGATTTTATATTAAGTACGATAAAATATCATAATGATATGAAATATCATAAATATTATAATGAAATATCACAAAAATAAATATATAAGTCCAAAGTATTTTTCATAGATGCAAACTAGTATTTCAAAAAATACAAAAAAATTAAATTTTTCAATGATTAATGAAACATTATGGTATGTTATATACGGAAGCTTTGTTGTAGTTTATCATCTATGCTAAAGAAATTGCTGTCTTTAAACTTCAGTATGATCTACGTGAACAGTGTCTTACGGTTTTGTTTTATCGGTATCATGTTAAGTACAGTGAGCACTTATTAATGATAATTAATTCCTCAATATTGTCAATTAATATACAAATAAATATAGTTATTATCAATTAATATAAATATATATATATATATATTTTATATTATATAAGTAATATGTTTTCAGGTACCATCAACAACTCTTCCGGAAGCTTTCTCAATTGTCATGTTCGCGTGTGGCTCAGTAGTGCAATTCTACATGTTATGTTCCTGCGTCCAACAATTATTAGACGCAGTAAGTTGTAATATAATGTTTACAAAATTTGTCTTTTTTATACAAATTGTAATTATAATTAATTATAATTATAATTACAATTTAATTATAATTATATTTATATAAGTACAATTATATACTTCTATATTATAATTTCATATTTATATATTATTTATGTTATATGTATTATATATTATATTATAATTATTTTTAATTATAATTATATATTTCTATATTATATTTTTAAATTTATATAACTAATTCTATTCTTTTTCTTTATTCTTATACATTTAAAAATTAATTGTTAAATATATATACATTTAATTTGAAAATTAAATTTTCATATGAATATTGCGCGTAATACAATTACTTTTAAAATGATTAATTAATTATATAAATTATTTATCTTATGTTTTTGTGTGGTTTAATATAGAGTAAGACAATGACGAATGAAGCATTTCACGAAAAATGGTATCAATTTGGACCATCTGTGAAACGTATATTTATGTTGATGATATTAGGTAATAATTTAGAATGCAAACTTTCATCGTGTGATAAATTTAATTTGTCTCTACCTTCCTTTATGACGGTAAGAGTTGTGCTATAAATAATGATGCTCTATTAAAATTTTACATTTGTTTTTTTTAATATTTTTTATTATTTTTTTAGATCTTAAATCAATCATATTCGATTGCTCTTCTACTCTTAAGAGTGCAGAACTAATGAGAACTTATGAGAACTAATGAATATATAGAATTCTTAAATGTTTAAATTTTTGAAATTTTCGAGTAATAAAATTGTTTATAAAAGTTAAGAATTTCATGTTATAATGCAAATGTTATTATGTTATAATGTTATAATGTAATTTGTAAATTTCACAAATATAGCATAAAAAATAAAAATTAAAAATTAGAACATTTTATAAATTTTTTTAGCAACTTATATTTGTAAAATTAATCTATACAACAATTAACTTACTTTTGTGAGCTAATTTTTATAATTAATAGAAATATTAATGTTCTCTCAATAAATTTCTAATTTATAGGTTGTATATTTAATTTTTTATTCTGTTAAAATTGTTTTTCTTATAAATCGTTTAATAACAATTTTTATTAAAATATAATATTATAATTTATTATAATTTATTTATTTATTATTTAGCAATATCTTGTGTATAATTTCGTGTATTTGAATATAGAATTATAAATATTAAAAGATATTTATAAAATAAATAAAAGTATTTTTTAGAAAGTATTTTTTTTAATTTATCCAACTATTTATCCAACTTGATTAATTATTTTATAGTGAATCGTTTATAAAAAAAAATCGTGCAACATTTTCAAAAACATATTTGATATGGCGATTTAATTTCTTACAAACTATTTCATAGTTTTCCATTGACGAATATTAGGTGGTACAGTTTTAACTACAATTCGATCAAATACTACAAATTTTGTAACTTCATGACTTCGTGATCAACAAAGCGCCATAAGATAATCGTCGATGAAGTATAATATAGAACAGTGGTTCTAAGGGAAGTCATATCATAGGGGATAAACATGACTAGCTTATAATCAGATGAAAAAGCAACTTCTTGTTTCAAGAAATTGCCATTTATTATCATGATGTCAATTTTATGAACTACTTTATAATTTCTTCACAATACTACATAAAGTCTTCCTATATTATTAGTTACTGAAAAGTCCATGACATTGCCTTCGATCCTTCCGGACAATAATCACAAGACAGATGTCGATAATTGACGCGAATCTAGAAGACATGTCATTGCTGTCAGTAAGACAATATGTGATATACAGTATATTAATAAAATTTAAGAGACAATTTAAAGAAATTTAAAGGAAATTGTCGAAGAATAATAGAATGAGCGAGTCAGTTTCAAGAAGAGTCATACATGTTTCTTTGAAGAGAAAAGTGCGTCATATATTTTCTGCAATAACAGAAATGTAATGCAAAGTGATCAAAAGAAGTAGAAAAGACCATACAATTTATTGCAAAGAAACAATATAAAAATATGAACTTCCAAAGCGTGAATCTGTTGAATGTGAGACTAAACACTTTTTCTGGTAACTTATTGCCAATGACATCTGATGATACGCAATTTTCGATTGTCTGGAAGATATACAGCGGCTTCGTGTGGCTGATTGAGTTGATACGTGCAGTCAGTTTAATTCCCGGAATTATGCACGTGTCAAGAGGAAAGACTTTGGAAGATGCTACAGTCGCCATTGTATTCACTATAGAAGTAATTTTTATGGTAATGCGAATTCAATTCCGTGGCACGTTGGTACGAGAGTTCATTCAAAAATTAAATGATATTCTGCGTACCGAGGATGAGATTATGAAAAACGTTGTAACCATGACTATGGAGCCAATGAAAATCCCACTAAATTTTTATTGGTTCACCGGCTTAGTAGCCGTAATTGTCTGGGGTAGTATACCGCTCATGTTGCTATTTAAAAAGACTTCTTTCTATTATGAAGATTACAGAATGCCGGTCGCTTTTTCCAAACAGCCATTCTCGACTGAAGTCTTTCTGTTAGGAAGTCTTTTTATATCAATCGCTAGCATGTACATGTTTTCAAAAAAAGTTGGCCTAGATGTCTACATGATACATTTGGTATTGATGATAACAACACAATATCGTTATATTGCGGTGAAACTCGAAGAAATATTTCGGAATGGAAATTCGGAAGATGAATGCAATTCTTCCAAAGAACGTCATTCTAAAAGAAAAGATTTATGGACAGAAAGAGAATTAAGAGCAATATGTCGACATCACAACACTGTGATTCAGTAAGTAATGAAAATTATTTACGATTTATTCAATTTTTATTAAATAGTTTTAATTATTGTTGAAATATTAATATTCATACAAGCAAAATTTTTATCGGAAATTATATTTTATAATATTACACATATACACGTATCGTATATACATTCATTACTTTTTCAGCTTATCATTTACATTAAAGAAGTTGCTCTCCTTAAATTTTAGCTTAATTTATGTAAACAGCATCTTACGGTTTTCTTTTATTGGTATTATGTTGAGTACAGTAAGTAATATTTGATAAAATTATTGTAATCTAAAAATATCTTTTTACAATTTAGAACGTAATATAAATATTAATAAATTTAAATTATAAATTTCTCACAAATTATTATAATAAAACGAGACATATTGAATAAGATATATTTATGTACTTCATTCAGTTTGTAAAATTAATGATTATTAGTTAAAAAAGATGGAAACTTAATACTTAAAACTTAATACTTAATACTTAATAAAACTTAATACTTAGGATGAAATATATTTAAAATTTCATCTTTTATATGAATTTTTAATATTTAACATAAATTTATAAGTAATATATTTCTTTTATAAATATTCAGGTATTATCAACGATTTTCATTGAAGGTTTTTCAATCCTCATATTTGCTTGCGCTGAGATAGTGCAATTTTATGTTTTATGTTCATCAGTACAACAATTATTAGATGCAGTAAGCTTTATTTATTTTCTTTCTAAATTATTAATATAATAAGATTTACAAATTATTTCAAAGCCGCAGTGCTTTTCACTTTCTTGAATCGAAAAGATATTCTTTCATTAATAATTATACTTCATCATGTATTATTTGTATAGAGCACAAAAATGACAGATCTGGCATTTCACAAAAATTGGTATCAATTTGGAACCCCGATAAAACGAACATTTATGTTAATGATACTAGGTAATAATCTAGAGTGTAAACTCGCAGCATTTGAAAAGTTTAATCTCTCTTTGCCATCATTTATGACGGTAAGACTATAGTCTATAGACTGTATTATTTTTGTATTATTATTATTATAATATTATAAATATTTTCAAAATTTTGTTAATAATTTTTCAGGTTATGAATCAAGCATATTCAATTGCTCTTTTATTTTTAAAAATGAAATAAACTATAATACACTGAAATACATCGAAATCTTTAATAAAATATCAAATTTTTTTATTTTGCAAGATTTTTGCAAATAATAATTAATAAGATTATAAACAGTTTTTTATATTATTAAATATAATCTTTGTTTTAAGAAAAAAATATTAAAAAATAACAAATTAATTAAAATTAATAATTTACGTCAAAATTTTTATTATTAATTTACTTTATCTGTATATGTTATTAAAATAACACTTTTAAAAATAAAAATTTTAATTTATAATAGTAATGTTCGACGTGATTAAAATTTATTGTTGTGTAATAATTCAAACAAAATTAAAATTATATGGAACTTAATAGTACTATATCTTTAAATTAATGTATAATAGAATATCTATTGTTTAAATATTTGTTCTTTCCAACAAATAGAACCGATAAATTCTTATATGTAACTTTCAAAACTGAAATATGTAATTCTGATTTTAGTATATTGCATGTCATTAATATGTACTTCCTCATCAAAAAAGTAAGCCTTAAGTACCTTAAGTAAACCTTAATTATTTCTAATTATTTAATATTATTTTTTCGATTTTTATTATTTTATACAATAACTGATAAACTATAAAATTGGAAAGAATTGTAAATTCTGTCCAGTGTAATGCTAATTATAATAAAATTTATAATACAAACAAAGCAACAAAATATCCAGGTCTGTATATTTAAAAAATATTTACAACATCATTATTATCATCAACACGACTTTCTTATTTTTGTCATGGAGATGCACCATTATCTTGAAAATAATGTTCATAATCCAAAAAATTTATTGCTAATGTACTATATAATAATAATAATCTTTCGATACAGTATCATTCTTTTATCTATCTTATGTTGTATTTTGTATTTCACATAATTACTATGTCCGATATATGTTTAATTAATCTTTTATATTAATAAAAATAGGAATTTATTAATACATTTTTTAATATTTAAAAAAACTTATATTATTGTTTAAATAATGAGTGATTAACAAATTACAACTTACATTAAGAATTATCTTACACATCAGATGATACGAAATGATTAAACATTGCACAGACTAATTTTTAAAATATTTTATACATTCTAAAAATATTTTATACAAATATATTCCAAGTTAAAATAAATACTTCTCTTCGAGCGTATGTTGCAAATAACATTGTGTGCGCTTTCTTGTATAGTCTCTTGCTATAGGATTGCGAGAACATCATAAGATAATCATCACTTTAGAGCGCAGTGATAATAACAAGGCAACTGTCGTCTACGTAGTCGATCACATCTATTCCCTTTATAAATAATTTCTTATCGGACATTTATTTTTTTGACATTGAATTCCTTTATATTCGTATATAATTTTTTCAATACTGTTTCAGTAAAGCATGTTGTTGTCTATAATCCATCCATATAATTATACTTACAGTTATTAACAGGACTAACTTTGATCACAAAGAAAGCAACTTGACTTCATTTTATATGCACTATCATCTGATGGTGTATAATATATGAATGAAAGACAGAAATAATCCGAAAGAAATACTATTTCAGTACATTAGTAAATTTAGCTAAATAGCAGAAATAAATTTAACATGAATTTCTAAATAGAAAATAACTTGCGTATCAATAGAAACGTGAGGTAAGATTAATATACCGCAATTGTATATTTTTTTTCACTATACAGAATTAAAATAATTGAATAATTGTTTTAAAAAAACAGATTAATTGACAATTACAGATAAATAGTATATTTTTTAAGAAAAATTTTTTACTAGTTTAAGAATATTTTATCATAAACAAATATTGCTAAGTAAACTTGATTAATTGGATTTTATTATAATTTTAAATATAAATAAAATTGTATTACAGTATTGTTAATAATAAAAATTTAAGTTTTAACATGATTTAATTAATTGTATGTGATGCATAGTAAAAATCCATAAACACACAAAAATATAATAAATTAATCAAAAAAATTATTTTGATTTTTACATAAAAGAACAATTTCTATTCATTATAAAACACAATATCGATGTTATGGATTTCCAAAGAATGAATCTTTTAAACGTTCATTTAAATTTGCTTACGAGCAATCTGTTACCGATGACCGACAATTCGTCATTTCCAATATTTTAAAGGATACATAGTGTTTTCGCATGGTTGATCGAATTGGTTTACATGGTCACATTAATTCCCGCCTATTTCTTTGTATCAATAGAGAAAGCTTTAAATGATAGTGTAATTTCCTTTGTATCAATAGAGAAAGCTTTAAATGATAGTGTAATTTCCTTGGTGATCATTGTAGAATCTGCCATTATGATTATACGAATTCATTCGCAGAGAATATTAGTACAGCAACTAATACAAAAACTAAATAAGGTTTTGAGCATTGGAGGTGAAAATATGAGAAATATTGTAACAACAAATCTAAGAAATATAAATAATCCATTCAAATTTTACTTAATCATTGGCGCATTTTCTGTTCTCTTCTGGGGCTGCATGTCGCTCCATTAGTTTTTGAAAAAAGTACTTTCTGTTATGCGGATTTGAAAACACCAGCTATTTACTCCAAAGAACCATTTTCTCTTGATATTTTTGTGATATTTTTGATATTTGCTACTGTGATATCATTGATTAGCATATACATATATTTTTTTAAAGAAAGCTAGTGTGGACGTTTATATAATACATTGATATCAGCATCATCATTGATAACAGCACAGTATCAATATATTGCTTTGAAGTTTATAGCAATATTTCGAAATAGCAACTCGCAAGCAACTCGCGCAAGCAACTAGCAATTTAATTTAAAAAATTATTCTAAAGTGGATTTCTCAATAAAGAAGGAAATGAAAATATTGTGTCACACATCGTTGTTATATAGTAAGTACATTTTTTAGAACTTGATGATTAAATTACAAATTGTTAAAGAAATTTTATCCTGTAGAAAATTTATATTTATTTATTGTTTTTATAAGTTATAAGTATATTTATTGTATATTTATTGTTTTTATAAGTTATAAGTATAAATATTCTCTTTTGTAGCATAACATTAATGTTGAAAAAATTGGTATCTCTAAATATCTTTTTTGTTATATATAAATAACATTTTTCGATTTTGTATTATTGATATCATGTTGACTCAAGTAATAATAATAGTCAAGTAATAATAATAATTTATGTGTATGTGACATTAATTAATCTAAAAATTTTGCACAAGTATTTGTTAAAAAATATATAATGCTATTGAATTATCTCGTATTATTTAGTTATAGTATAGCAGCAATGTGTCTTTGTGAACTGCAGATATCATCATCTTTTTTGGAAGGATGTATGATTATCATGTATGGATCCGCATCAATAACGCAGTTCTATATATTGTGTTCATGTGTCCAGAAATTATCAGAAGCGATAAGATTTATTATAATGTGATTGTTCGTAAGATTAAAAAAATTTATTTTTAAAAAAATTAAGGAACAAGTTATCTTTTTTGTTAAACAACCTATATTTAAGGAATTTATAAACAATTAAAGCGATTATTAATTATTATAACAACAAGTCCAATTATCAAAATTAGAAAAATATTTTTTTGGAATATAAATAATAATAATAATAATAAATTTAATTGGTTTATGCACAATTATCTAATGTAAAAAAATTAAATTTATTCTGTAGTTAAAAATTATATTATTAAATATTTTATGTGTATCAAATTTAAAGTACAAATTTAACGGATAAAGCATTTCATGAAGATGGTATCGATTTGATTTATAACACATACATTTTAATTGGTGATTGTAGCTAATAATAATTTGGAAATTAAACTTTCAATGTTTGAAAAATTCAAATTGTCTCTATCTGCATTTATATCAATATGATTTTAATAATACTAATTACTAGATTAATAATTAAGAGATTTTTAAAAAGAGATACTTTTCTATAACTTTTGACATAATTTTATAACTTTTTAGATTTTAAATCAATCATATTCAATCGCTCTTCTGATATTAAAAATGAAATAAAAATGATGTATTTAATGAGACATAATTATAGAATGACATCTTATAACTTATAATAAATTATAGTAGACATTGTAATATAGATATTAGTGACATAAAATTAATAAATAAATAAATTATGAAAAGAGAATATTATTACGTGAAATTATCTTATTGATATATAGATTTTAGGACGAACAAAATTTTATTTATCATAAAAACATAAAAAAATTAAAACATGTCCGTAATTTATCAAAACTGGCTTTATATATCAAAATTGGCTTTATATAAATATAAACAATATCTTGAAACTTAAATTTTGCTTCTTTTATTTTTAAATTCAACATTTTAAAACATACTATTTAGTATTGCACATAAACATAAAATTATCACAAGTTATTATAATTTATTAAACATGTGATATATTTTATATTTATTTATGCTGACATAGTTTTTAATTCAACTATGTTTTAAATTCAATTAATCTTATTAAATTAATCTATTAATTAAATTAATTTAATTATTTTTGAATTAAATTAGTTTAGTAATTTTCATATATTGTTGCAAATAAAATAATTATATTTTTAAAATAAATTCAATGATAGAAAAAATTTTCTTTAACAAATTCATTTTAAAACACTTTGGAAACTTTATAGAACACTTTATAGAACAATATATCCAAATTTCATTTAACATGTTACATATTATTAATATTTTAATCAAAGAAATGCGCATTAGACATTCTAATTAATAATTAAAATTCATTTAAAATTTTACTAATTTTTTATATTTTGTGCTCTACAATAGTTAACAAGATTGCTCCTCTACTAATGCAATATCTACAAACGAAATCTAAATAACTGTACATCATATTGCAATAAATATAATGAGAGAGATAATAATCATCATTGCAATAACTGTCATTGCAACATTTATTAATGAACTTTCTTATTACTTCTATATATAGTATGTATCTATATGTATGAAATTATTATTTAACGAGAGATATACGCAACATCGCCAGGAATAATTAATCTACTGTAAACAATAATCACAGTATCACTTAATAATTTAAAAAATTATACATATGCATAATATATTAATAACAATTAAGAGATAGTAAGAATTATATACATATATTATATATATATTGGAATAACACATCTTTAAAAATTAAAAATCGAAAGTGATCTATCAACGACTTTTATAATCAACCGCAGAACTGCTCATTTTCATTTGTAAAATAATATCATGTATGACAAGTAGTATGGAGAACAGAAAGTAGAAGTAAGTTTAATACTAAAGATAGCTATTTGTTTCATGAGCCAGTGTTCTACGAACAACTTTGATCATTAAGTGTCATTAGTTATAAATTTTCTTTCCCTCTATTTAAAAAGAAAGTTTTCAGGGAGTTACTTTTAAGAATTATAGTTAACTAAACCAACATATTCTTTCTAAATAGCATAATAACGTACACTTAATGGCATAAGCCAAGAATTCAATATGAGTAGTTACACTCAGTTTTAAACTCACAGTGGTATAAAATAGCACTTAAGCATCAGAAAGACCGAGTGTTCTCTTTTCATAAAAAAAATCGATCTATTTTTATACAACAAGTTTGATGATTTAAAAAAAAATAATATCGAGGAATCATGGATTTTCAAAATGTAAATCTCCTAAACGTGCGAACAAACATGATTTCTGGCAATTTGTTTCCAATGACAGCAGATAATTCGTCATTTAGAATTGGTTGGAAAATATATAGCGCCGTTATATGGTTGATACTTATAATCATAGTCATCGGGTTCTTCTTTGGTTTCATGTTGGTGCCAAAGGCAAAAGCTATAAGTGATGGTATGATTGGCACCGTGTTCATCGTAGAAGTATTCTTCATGGTTGTGCGTATTCATACAAAAAGAAATCTCGTGAAAAAGTTTATCCAGAATATGAATGACATTCTTCACGTTCAGGACGAAACTATGAGACATATCGTGATATCATCTCTAAAACTGATGCATTCTCCATTTAAGTTTTATTGGCTGTCCGGCATAATAACCAGCACAATTTGGATCGGCGTGCCGTTTACTTCAGTTTTCAAGAAGAGTTCTTTCTTTTACGAGGATTTTAGATTACCGTTTGCTATTTCCAAACAACCATTTTCAACAGAAATTTTCCTATTAGGCGAAATAATGTTGACAATCTGCAGCATATTTATTGTTGGAAAAAAAGTCGCGGTGGATATTTACATGTTGAATTTTGTGCTGTTGATGACAGCACAATATCGCTACATTGCGATGAAGCTTGAAAACATATTTCAAGAAGAGTATTCGGAAGACAATTATAATAATTCTCAACAAAAACATCGTCCTAAAACAAAATCATGGGCAGAAACAGAGATAAAAGCAGTATGTCGACATCACAACACCGTAGTTTAGTAAGTAATCTGCAAATATTTATCGTATTAATCTGCTAATTGTTTTGGAACTATTTTTGCTTTGTTTTGATTAATTCAATTATTATTAAGTTATCATTTATGCAATTAAAATTGTTTTTAATATTATATTCTTATGTGTTTGTATCATATATATTTTCAGTTTGTCGTCTATGTTAAAGAAGCTGCTATCCTTAAACTTCAGTTTGATTTATGTGAATAGCGTCTTGCGGTTCTCTTTTGTTGGAGTCATGCTAAGTAATACAGTGAGTAATATTTATTAATCTTATTTTAAAAATCTTTTCTTCGTAATTTAAAATGTGTAAATTATTATTATTTATTAACGGCGTTTTGCACAGAAAATATTTTTATTTTAATAATATTAAATTATATGACTTAAAAAAAATTTGAATATTAGATGTCAACTCTTGTTTTAAAACATTATGAATTATAATGTAATTAAAATATGAACTATAATGTAATTAAAATATAATTAAAAAAGAATAAATTTTTAATATCTGTATTGTATAAGTTATAATATATAAGGTAAGAGTGTAATATCATATTCTTTTTTTTATAAATTTCTAGGCGTTGTTGACGACTTTTGTTGAACGGATTGCAATGGTTTTTTTTGCATCTGGCGAAATAATACAATTTTACATTCTATGTTCTAATGTACAAAAATTGTTAGATGCAGTAAGTTTTCATTGTAATACATATTTTATTACATATTATTTTCTGTCAATAATTACGTAACGAATTTACAAAATATTCTTTAATTACTATTTATTATATAATTTTTTCAAATATAATATAACAAAACAAAATAAATATTTTAAAAGAGAATATTTAACTTTTTGAGATATATTATTTGTAAATTATTGTTGCAGATTTCTTATTTGAGCAAAAAAATAATTACAATATGTAAATTATTATTTTTGAAGTTAATAATGTTTTTATTTAAACTTTTATTAATAACTATATTATATTAGCTTCTATATCTAATTTAGAGTATAAAAATGACGGAAGTGGCATTTCATGAAAATTGGTATCAATTTGAATCGTCATTAAAACGTAAATTCATGTTAATGATATTGGCTAATAATTTAGAGTGCAAACTCGCGGCATTTGAGAAGTTTAATATTTCCCTGCCATCATTTATGACGGTAAGATTATACGCATTTATTCTGTCACTTACCTGCTTATATTGTAAAAATATTATCAAAATTTTCCCAAAATCTTGCTAACAATATTCCAGATTATGAATCAGGCATATTCAATTGCTGTTTTATGTTTAAAAATTGTTAAAAAACAATAAATATATTGCAAATATTTTTAAATAGAACGAAAAACTTTATTTTATAAGGTAAATATAATAAATAATAAATGTATAAATAATTTATACACGTTCAAATTTAATGTGTTGCCAATTTTTGTTTCAGTAAAAGAAATATATGAAAATAATCGATTAATGATTTTATTGGGCTATAAATAAATTTTTTAGATATTAATAAAATATAGAAAAAAAAATAATTTATCCATAATGATGGTATGTAATGTAATTTAGACTTTATTTTATTGTGCAGTAAAATGATATAAAATAGACATTTTATATCATTATTAAAAACTTCTTTTGTTAAATAATATTCTTATTATATATGTAAGCATCTTATATGTAAGCATCTTATTTAAACTTTTTATTGATATATTGTAAGAACTTAAACAATTCTAAAACAACAATATTTCTTTTTTAATAAATAGTTAATTTCAAATTTGAACATATAAATCATATTAATAATGAGTCAAATAAAACCAATCCAATTTTTTATAAAAATCTATTTATCATGCATAAAAATATAATTGCTTTACAATTTATTATTTGTATATCAAATTTATATAATTAAATGATAAAGAATAAATATTATCATTTTTATTATATCATTTTGCTCTGTAAATATTAAGAGTCTAAAAATACAGTAAATCGCAGTAAGTTTAAAAAGAAACATCTTATTTTTAAAATAAATATACATTTGAATGTACATGAATGTACATAAATGTAATTTTTATTTTATATATTATTTAAGTAATAAAAAAAGAAATATATATTTCATTAAATATATATGTCAATTCGTGATTTATATCTCGCGAAATATATTTATATAATATATTTATCTTTTTCTGTTCCAAATATTCTTTACCATTTATAAATAATGTAATATATGTAAGTAATTGTTACGAAACGACTTATAACACGTTTTTTTTTAAATTCTTTGCTATTTTATATATCCTTTAAAATATCCTTTAAAAAATAAAAACATCTAATTTGGAGACGCATTTTGGTGTGAAAAATGCAAATAAAATTTTTGAATTTAAATTATGATTATCTTTTTCGATCTGCACTTTGTTTAACATTTAGGTCGATAATAGATTTGTTAATAGATATAAACAGATTATCTTTTTTTTAATAAAATATGAAAATAATAATATTGAAAATTTGATATCATCTGTTGAATTTTTATTAAAAAGAAAATTTAAATAAAAAAATTTGTGAACAATTGCAAAAATCTCACAGTTTCTTTAAAAAAAAGTCATTTAAAATTGTTTTACATTAGTTTTTACAATTCTTGAATACTATTATTAATGTAACTTTCCACATAAGGTACAATTGAAATATAAAATGTTATAATATTATAAGCCATAAAAAAATTATTATTATTATCTTCGTAAGTTACATGTTATAATTACAGCTTACATAATATCATTTCCTTGATTTATACATTGGCAAAATTTATTTACTTATTTATTTATCACAAATAAACCGGAAAATTGCTTTATGGATCTAGATGACTTTGTTTTGCATCGCATTGCTTTTCCTCGCGAATACTTCCGTTGTTTTTGATCGTTTTGACATCCGGTTGCGAAGAATTCTATACTGGTCCCATAACCAACACTTTCGCCATTCTTCAATATATTTCGTATATTCGCGCTGTACATACAGTCATTTCGAAGTTGTCGTAGATCATAATGCGATGTCTAAAAAATTAATTGTACAAGGTAGAAATGAGATATATATTTGGAAACATATTCTTATGTTTTTTCAAATTATTCAAATTTTTTAATATGTTTTTTATTTATACCAATTTAAATATTAATTTTTCTACGATCAAAAATTGAAATAAATATCAATTGTTTTGATTCAATAATAACTTAAAATATTTTTGATAATATTTTTGAATTATATATAAAATTTTATTCGTACACTTACCTGCATGCACACTATCACAATTCTAATAATTAAAATGAATATTAAAAGCTAGAACTGTAAATATATCCTTTTAAAAACAGCATTTTTATAAATTCTGTGATTTTTTTCTTATTTTTGTTTTGCATACATTGTTGACTGTATATATATATATATA